ATATTACATTAGCTTTAATTTAAGATATATATAAAAGTGTCAGACCTTCCGGAACATTTTCAAAATTTAAGTTAAAAAAATTAATTTTTTGTGAAAAAGTTGTCATTTTAAATCCCCCCTTGTGGGCATGTTAAGGGTTAAATTTATGAAAAAAATATACCAAATGAAAGGTAATGATATTATTCATCTATATANTTTATGAAAAAAATATACCAAATGAAAGGTAATGATATTATTCATCTATATAAAAGAATTATATTGATATGTTTATTTTTGAAAAAGTTATGGCACTTTTAATTTAAAAAAATTGAAAAAATTTCGAAAATTAGCGATTTTTAAATTCGTAATTTTTTTGGAGGTTTCCCCCATTTACGGGGAACGAGGGAATTTTTTTCAATTTTTAAGGGTAATGTCTTCGACTAGATACGATTTGTGATCTTTTGACNTAGAAACGAATTAAAAAGTTTACTGCTAGAAAATTCAGGTGACATGGCAAACATATGTTTATATTGCCAAAAGTATATAGAACATCACAGCAGAATTGAATGGGTGTCATCAGGCCCGTATCCAGAAATTGGTTTCGGGGGGGCTAAAGTTCCAGAATCATAATTAGGAATTTTTCGTCGAGCAAAAAAAAAAAAATATATATGTGACGTTTAAATTATTATTAATTGGAGTGCAATAAAAAAAACGCAGTACAAAGTATATAAATAACTTTAACTATATTTGAAAGAATTTTTACAAAAAATATACACCTTATAAAAGTAATTTTCTTGTTTTTTTGTTTGCTAAACAGTTGAGCACTTCTTCCGGATCAACAATAGTATCCCAGTGAATTGTCATCATCGCGAGTGCACTTAGTCTGTCATGGCCCATCACACTACGAGGTAAAGTTTTTATCCTCTTCATTGTGGAAAACGATCTTTCAACGCTAGCCGTTGTGACTGGAATAGTAGCCAATACCTTGAGAAGAAGATTTATCGCGCGAAAAAATGTTATGTCACAATATTCCAACAGTTTCAAAATTTCAGTCGATGAGTCAATTGATGACATTTTGGCACACCATAACTTGTACTCAGCTTGAACTGCGGACAATGACATTTCGTCTTGAAAGTATGGACCTAATTTTTCCAGTTCATCCATTTTTTTCTCGGAAGCATATCCTGGAAGTAGCAGTTGAAAACTTGAGAGAATATCTTCATTCTTGATAAATCTATCCGTCAAATTTTGTATTAAAGCATCGATACAAGGAATAAATGTGGTAACTCTGAAATAATCTTCATTCGATGTCGTTTGTATATTTACACGAGATTTCTGTCGTGATGCAACTCTTGGAGCTTGAAGTTCAGCGTCAAAAAGGTCCGCTGAAAATTTCGACGCTGCTTGAAAAATTCCTCTGAAAGTGTCGCTAGCAGTTTCCCGCATTTTTCGGAGTGCACTCAATATATCATTTGTATAATTTACAGCGGAAACGAAATCTGAAGATTTTTTTTGGAGAAAAACCGACAGCGGAAGAGTCAAACTGAATAGTTTTTCACAAACAACAAGGCTCACTAAAAATTCACTTTTTTGGCAAGCTGTGTGAAGAATTGATGCCGTTGAAGATATGTTCCATGTTCTTTGAGCAATTTCATCTAAAGACATGACAATGCATTCGAGGAGTTCTAAAAATACAATAATACTGTCATGTCTTTCGATAAATCTTGTGTCACAAAGCCGAAGAAGTCGTTTTTTTTTACTGTCTGGAGCATGTTCTTGGATAGTGTCTTGAAAAAGTTTGTTTGCATTCGAATGATTTCTGAACAAATTTACAACCTGACTAACAACTCCAAGACAGTTGCGTATTGCTGGAACAGACATTGCATTCGACAGAGCAAGGTTCAAACGGTGACTGGCACAATGAATGTATCTTGCCTTCGGATAATTATCTCTAATTCTCGTTTGAACGCCACTCAAATGACCCGCCATATTTGTTGCCCCATCGTATCCTTGCCCAATACACTTGGTCATATCGAGATTAAGCTCTTCACATCGCTGTAAAATAACGTTCGTCAGATTTTCAGAAGACTGATCTTTGATTGGGATAAATCCGATAAAATCTTCACGAAGAATAGGAGCTTGTAGATCTGGTATATCGACGTACCGTAGACATAGCGAAAGCTGCTCGGTCCCTGAAACATCCATTGTTTCATCGCCAAGGAGACTAAAACATTGTACCTTAGAAATTCTATGAATAACTTTTTCAGTGATAATGTCAGAACACGTCTGAATAACTTCATTTTGGATGATAGGGCTCAAATAAGTAGCGTTTTTGGAGCTCTTGAGTACATGTTTTTCTAAATTTTGATCACCAGACTCAATTCTGAACCGTAAAAGAGCTCTGAACTTTCCATCTTTTTGTTTAGGTCGTGTCAAAGATAGAGCACCGCTATTATGATCGCCTCTTAGAGGTAATTCTTGTTCTGCACAAAAAAGAATTGTGCGAATAATTGGTTCCAATGCAGCCCTATTTTCAGATATCTCTTTGGTGCGTTGACTATCCAACTGAGACGCGATATCCAGCTGCTTTCCAGTTAATATATTGAGAAATGAAGTGGCTTGCATAACACATTTTTTGTGATATTCTTTTTCCATATGTTTTTGAAAAAATTCTCTAGCTTTTTTCCAGTCTCGAAAACCGACAGACACAAGTTTTCCTGGTTTTTGATGACCACCTTTTCCAACGCCTTCATGGAAAAATAACCAGCAAGATTTGCAATATACGCTGTCTTCACTCGCTGAGTAAGCCAGCCAAGCAAAATCATTAGTAATCCACTTAGGTTGAAAACTTCTATTATGCGATGTTTCTGTAGGGAATTTGTATGTTTGTTTTGGTAACAATACCGATGAAAGTACATTTTTTTTCGTGGTGTCATCTAGCAAATTTCGGTTTGTGATCCCAATATCAAATCGATTGGCTAGCCATACAGGGTGAACGATTTCATGTAAACCAGTTGAAGTGACTGGGTCAGATATGTTGTCTTTGGAGTCCAAATGGGATATATTATCCTCTTCTGTAAAATAAAATTTTTATTCTATATAAACGTTTAAAATAATATAAGATATTCATTAACGATGGTTCGAAATATGCTGCTCACTTTCTTTGTCTATGCCGACATGAAAATTCGTTTTCGGTCCCGAGTTAACTTTGAAACTATGGTTGCTTTGTTCACTACACTCACTATTGTTTAAAAAGTTCTCTGTAAAACATAAGAAATGAACATCTTAAGTAATTTACCAGAAGAATTCAAATTCGGATTATTATTTGGAAATTTGATAGATGATAAAAATAAATACAACAAAACATTTTTATGAGATACCTGTTAAACCACCATCACTTGGTTTATTTGGATTTTGTTCTAGGCCTTGATCTGTAAAAATAATAGAAAGTAAAATTAAAATGATTAATTATAATTATTAGTCAATTTAACTAAAGTAAATAATAAATCATTTAAATGTTTTTGAAGTCTACAAAAATTAAGATAGAAATAGGATAAAAAGGACTATTTAAGGAAGTTCAAATGGTTATTTGTCTGTTAAGTAATTTTTTTTGTTTAAAAAAATTTAAAGTAAATACAATTTTATATTCAATTTAGATTAGATTCATATAATTTTTTTGAAAATCGGCGATCCCATCACCATGATTTCTCCTTGTAAGTTAGAAATTGTCTATTATTGTTGATAATATAGAAATATATTCTAACTATAATAAAAAACTTTTTAGGATTTTTAGTTTCACAGGACAATAATAAGATATAATTGCGTTGATAAAACTAAAAAAATTTTAACTCGATAGGCCTGCAAATAATAGCAACAAGGTTTTTTTTACTGTCCTTGACTTACTTAGCTTAATTGAATTAGGTTAATTAAAATTGATACTAATTAGAGAAAATGGCTGTTTACTTATTAAAGATTTAGGAATATGTATATATAATACATAAGTATTATATAACAAGATACCAATATCATCCAAAGATGTAACTAAAGGGAGAAAAGAGGATGGCTTGTGTCTCTTAAGTTACCTCAGTTGGCCAACAAGATATATATTTATAATATTTAAAAAATTATATTGTGAGCATATTATGAAAATATTTCAATAGAATATATTTTTTATTATGTTTATGAGATATTGTCACAATATTTTATTCAAAATATTTTAAAAAGTATTTTGTAAGAATATTTTGACAATATTAATACATTGAAATTGCAATGTGGGATCTTATCTATTTCATTGTCATCAGATCTTATTTTTCTGAATATAGAAAGGTTTTAATGCAACAAAAAAATGTGACAAAAAATTTTTTTAATCAATAGAAATAACAAATGTGTGAATTAACCAATAAAGATAAAAAAAATTTACATAGTTTAAAATAATTCATCTATTGTTATTACTATACTATTTTATTCATTAGTTAAATATCAGTCAGTTAAATATTATACATTACCCAGATTTGTTGTGGAGAATGAATTCGTCGATGAAAAGAACTTTTTTATGTTGCTGGTTGTTGTACTGGTAGATTTTCTTTTTCTGCTACATGAATTTAGGTGTCTTAGCCATTTGCTTTGGTTTAAATCTCCCTTACTTTTACCACAAATACATAATTTATCTTTATTCATGACGAATAAAAGTATTATGATTTATAAATAATATTACTGTTTATTGATAATAATTTTTTATTGATAAATTACTTATTAAAATAACTACACAATCACAAATTTTAATGTCGATCAAACGAACGCGTCAAAATTTTTGATGGGTATAATAAAAATAGCACATTGCTATCATCCACAGTTTTGTTATCATAAACATCAACACATTTGGTAATTCCATTAGGTTTGGTTTTTTTTTTTTATCTAAAGTTATCGTCAAGGGGGAATACCCCTTGGCCGTGGTGTGGTTTGTAATGGACATGTATTATAAACAAATAAAATAACATTAAATAACTGCTTTAGTAATTAGTGTCATTATTCATAACTCAACTTATAAGTACATAATCATATATGTACAAATACAATATATTTATATTGCGTATGTAATTTGAAACGCTGAATGACCTTACTGACGACCGAAAACTTGAATTTCAAAGAATAGAAATTGCTATACTGAAAAAATTCTACATTGAAGACTTTTCTATGGAAAACCTCACATGAAAAAATTTTTTGAATTTCAGGTTTTCGAGGGGGGCCCGGGCCCCTTGGCCCCCCCCCTGGATACGTGCCTGACATACACCCAGAGAAAAACCTCGATCTATATAATAAATTCATTGTTCAATTTGATAAATATATCATTACTATTGAATCAATGATATATTTATCAATATGATATTTTTTTTTCTTGTCTTGAACAATAATTATTTATAAGAATAGTTATTTTGTTCGTATTAATAAAACATTATCATAAACCCTTGATAAAATTTCTCTTTCAATTTTGATTGAGGTTTTTCTTTGGGTGTATATATATATATAAACTAATAAATATTCAATATATCAATATATTAACATTAGAATAATAATAGTAGAAAAATTGTTCCTTTTGCGTATGGAATGTCAACCTCCGCTGCTCTATTTCCGTTGAGCACTCGAGTAATAGCACGTAACTGGTAATATAAAGTGTTGGTTGTCACCTAAACAGGCCAATACCAACCAAAAAACAATGAAACAAATTAAAAACACGCCAGCTCACTGGCCACGAGTCATCAGACTCAAGAGATGCGGTACGACTTCAATCGCGTATACCGACGTAGTGCTCGCAAGGTGCCGGTAGTGCCGGACACGATTGTTGTCATTACATTGACAGGGGTAATGCCAACTCGAGCTATGTGTAACTTTACCGGCTACACACATAACTTTTGAACAGTAATACATTTTAAACTTTCCAAAAGAAAAATTACTTTTTACTCTTTCATATTTTTAGAAAAATGAACAAAATATAATTAAATAATTATAATTATTCATGTGAATTTTGTAAATAATTTTAGTTTGTTTTTGTACACCTTTGTTTAATAAACTCATACTGCATATGTAATATTTAAACTTTGAATTTAAAATTGTTAAATTTGATATAAAATTAAGATAATTTACCTTATTGTATTATAAATTTTAATTAATAGATATTTGATACCAAACAAAATGATAGGTACTTTTAACAACTATGAGCACAATAACATATTATTTAATGTTTTTAATACAAATATAAATAAGCATAAGTATTTAAATTATATTTTACATGAACTCTATTAAATAATTAAATAAAACCTTGGGAGCTAGAGCTATTATTTGCACCCAAAGAAAAACCTCAATCAAAATTGAAAGAGAAATTTTATCAAGGGTTTATGATAATGTTTTATTAATACGAACAAAATAACTATTCTTATAAATAATTATTGTTCAAGACAAGAAAAAAAAATATCATATTGATAAATATATCATTGATTCAATAGTAATGATATATTTATCAAATTGAACAATGAATTTATTATATAGATCGAGGTTTTTCTCTGGGTGTGGTACATAAGGATTTTGTTCGCCACCGGGTTCCTACTAAAGCGGTTAGTCCATATGACTAATAATAACAATAACAATAAATTTCAATGATAGATTTCTAACCATAAAAAAAAGAAATATTACCATTCATCTAATTAATATGTTTTTTTTTTGTATGATATGATTTTCAAATGTATAAATTCATATTTAAATTCAATCGGACGTCCGCAAAATACAAATGTAATTGTCGTAACACAATAAAATAAAAAATGAAACACGTGTAAATGTAATTGTTATTGTGATGCGAAAATGAATATGATGATATGGTGCCTGCTGTCTAGGTATTCACGTGCGTGTTGTCGTACAGCAGTCACCGTGCTCGGCTGACACTCCGGGTTAGATGTGGGTGTCGAAAGGCTGTTGTTATAGGAAGGGAATCAGGGTAACACCTAGATATGAGGTGCAGACAAAGTGCAAGACACAAATATTAGGCGTACCAGGTGAGGAGAAATAACAGAGTACGAGGTGCAGACGAAGTGCAAGACACAAGTACTTTAGTTATTAGGAGAGGATAATGAAGTACGAAGTGTAGACGAAGTGCAAGACACAAATATTAGGCGTACCAAGTGAGGAAAAATAACAGAGTACGAGGTGCAGACGAAGTACAAGACACAAGTACTCTGAAATGTTGTGGAAGAGAGTGGATAGGTTTAAAAAGGAATAAACAAAGACTTTACTTTAAACAGTAAGCCGGACAGCGACAACCGAGTACTGAGACTGATGAATGACACAAGGCACTGGAGTCGACTGACACCGATGGTCAGGTCTATTGGGTTTTTATAATAATTAGAATTATTGCCAATTTGGCAATCAATACTATTTGTTAATTCATCAGTCTCAGGAAGCGGATGTGCTGTCTGTATTTTATTAAAATAATTCTCACAATAATGGTAACGTGACACCATCACATAATGACATTGAACAATAAAATAATTTTACATACAATGAGAAGATATACTCCAAGTCAATCCACGGATTCAACGTTTCGACGCACAGTGGGGCAACGAGCTTCAAAAGTTGGCATTAAATCATGGAACAAAAAAATATATTCCTAAAATTAATATTATTTTTATTTTTGTCCATCAGATATATAAAAAGTCATTTACATAATATTAACATAGGTATTTACTATATACTAAAATACCAGCCCCTCATTATAGCTTCACCTGGAACAAATTTTACGTTTTTTCTGCTTTAAATCGGTTGAAAAGTAAGGTTTACGGAGATAAATACATACGGTAATGATAACGGTCAACCGCATTCTTGCAAAAGGCATTGGCGGCAGTATGACGTTTGCGCGGCGGGCATGTGATACGATCACTCGTATCGAATAGGGGTTAAAAAGTAGAGTATTCGAAATTAAAGTACGTTGAATGTATTTAACGGAATAGGCAAAAAAGAATATTCCAAGTATTCGCTAAATAAATAAATATTTAAACTCGTAAATTTGAAAATAATACAATATTGAATTGTTTGTCATTGGAACAAAACGAATACGAATCGGAAGTTTATCGTTCAGTGGCGTATTTTGAATGATTTCTCGGGTGGTGTCCAACTTTTAATGAACCTCACAAACGAAAATTATAGAAATGTTTACTGACGTAAAAAAAACTTACTATTTTTCTAATTACTATTTTAGGAATTGACAAATAATTTGAAATTTGAAATTTTGGTACTGTTGTATCTTAAAAGAAACAACCCTAGTGTCTTAACTTAAAGTAATAAAAGTTTAATAATAACTCAAATGTATTTATTATAGATATAATTAAACAATGCAAAACATACAAAATAAATATACACTAAACACACAATAAAAAAATACACAAAATGAAAACTGAATGTCATAAACGTACCGCGCGAAAAGAGATTACCTTCGGTGCTCCTGAGATCCTTTCTCCTCTACGATTCATTCCATTTCGTCTTATATACTAAAATATTTTGTTTTTCTTCTTTTGCAAAATTAATAATACTATCGTTTTCAAAAATGTTTATAAATATTTAATTCCTGGTCTAGTAATAATATTTCAGGAAATTACAATTAAACAAAACATTACAAAAATGTTTTACTTTCAGCTTTACAAATGATAAACTATATTACAGTATACAGACTGATTTTTTTATCATAACCCACTCATTTACTTGTAGAATAAATATAATTTAAACATTATTTTTGGTTTTCTTTAGTTACACATTATTCTTAAATTATTAACTATTTAAAACTTTTTATGTTCATCCCTTATGCCTTGTAAGGGTGTCAACTTTGTCTTTTTGTCTTTTAAATGGGAACACATATTTTGAATATAATAAAATGTTTGGATTTTTAATTAAATAGTAAATGGCATTTGAATTTTTAATATAACTTTATTAGTTTATTAGATATAAACATTTAAAGTTTCAAATTTTTGAGTTAATATACATGTATAATACACATGATGATAGGATTACAAATACAGGTAGCTAAATGGTTTATATGATATCAATGTAGCAGTCACGGATTGTTTATTATCAATTATGACTATCATAGATATACTTTCTGTATTGTCAGTTAGTGTATTTATAAACTCACAACAATGTGCCTTACTACCATTGATAATAACAATGCTGTGTACCTGCTAATTTCTTTGAAGTTGTTTTAAACAAAGTAACTCATAACTAAATACTTTATTTATAATAAGTAAACAAATAATAAAATCTCCTTTCAGTATTTATGTTCGCAAATTACTTACNATCTCCTTTCAGTATTGATGTTCGTAAATTACTTGCTTTTGATGATGTTTCAGTGTCATTCCACTTCGAAATTATAAATAACGATTCAATTAGGTACACAAAAAGCTCAAGAAAATCATTGACAGCATAAAAACGTTCAACTCATTTAGTCGCACATAATTGTTTTAATGATTTTTTAGTTATACATTTTTGACTTTCTTCGATTTGACTTTTCAACACATCTTTTCGCTTTGGGTATATGAAAAAATCTCTAACTTTAGATGTTGTTCCTAATCAATTTCGTGTTTCTTGTATAGAAGATGAATAAGAAATAGCAAGGTTTAAAACATGAACAGCGCAATGAACAAACGTTGCAAGCGGATAACTTTGGTGAATAAGAGATTGAGCTCCGTTAAATTGACCAGACATAGAAGCACATCCATCGTAACACTGTCCTCTAAGGTATTTTGTTTCTACACCAAATGAATGTAAACTTTGAATAATAATATATAAACCTTTTCCAGTAGTATCTGTTGTAGGCACAAACTGAAGAATTCTTCCTTGATAATCATATTTTCAACATCTAAATATCGAACACACAAAGTTACTTGTTCGCTTCCACCAATGTCGGCCGTTTCATCAGCAAGTATTTTGAAACATCTTTGGGCATTTATGTTTGTTACGATTTTATTTAAAATAATTTTATTACAGGATTCAATTATTTCATTTTGAAGTGTTTCACTTGTATATTTTATTGTTTCTTCAGCTTCCAAAAATGATTTTAAACGGTCATCTCCTTGAGCTCTGTATCTTAATATTTCTCTAAAATTTCCTTGATTTTCTTGGATAATTTGTCATTTTCTTTATATATATTGAAAGATATATTTACAAAGATAGCCGTTATTGTCAAAAAAATAAATAAATAATAATAACATTAAAAATGCAAATAATAATTAAACCTATAAGGTAGTTAAACCCTAAAGTTATTTTCGATTTGTTAAAGTCGTTAAAATTAATTCAAATCTCCTGTTATTTTCTTTTATCAGAATTATTATGTCATTAATTCAATTATTAATTAAATTGTTAAACTATATTATATATTCAACTTAATAAATTTTTATGTTGATTATAATCGCATGGCATGATGTTTTTTGTTAATAACTAAATGGAAATAGCAATTTCACATGGGCAAAATTTTTAATAGTTGCAAGAGAATAAATCCAAACGTTGATATTTTATTTCATACAGATTAAATTTTATATGCATAAATATTCTGTTAACCGATATCAAATTTATTCCACTTGAACTTTCATAAAAAAATCTCTATCATTTGTAAACTAATGTAATAAATAAACAAACAAATACAAAAGGTTTTTCTTCAAAATATCTTTAAAATATATATATATATATTTTTTTTTTGATAATTCTCTGTATTATTCTTAAAATATTGTATTCTTTGACCAATAATACAATTAAAATAAATAAGTATTGTTTATACTAAATTTATTTATAATTGGCTTATACATTTTTTTAATGAATTTTTACAATTAAGTTTCCTTGACAATTAGATGTAAATGTTGATTTTATCGACATTTCAGTTCACTTCGTTTTTTCCCGTGAAAAATAAACTATCGTCTTGTGTAATTATTAAGATTTATTTAATTAGTTATTGATATGGCAAGTGAAAAAAATATTTTTGGTCAAACAAATGAATCAAACTTACATAAGGTCATACGCAGAGTTGAAGAAATATGGAATCGTCGTTTCATGCATTCCAATTGTGTTTTAAATAATACTAATAAAGGACAAATATCAAAAAATTCATCTAAAGATGGAAGAATTATCTGTAAACACTGTTAAGATTAATAATTAAACTAACTATTTCGAATAGAGAAAAAATTTTTTTATATAAAATATAAGAAAAATTAATAATAAGTTCTCTTATTCATATATAACAATAATTCAGTCGCTTTACTTTAATTTAACTATTTTAATATTAAAAACCTTTTTCGAAATTGATTATTTAATTAATAATTATTAAAATTATATTCAATTTGCAGCAATTATTAATAAAAATATTTATCCTATAAAAAATTCCATTATTCCAAAAAAACGCACGTATCGAAAAACGAATAAAAATGATAAAATTATTCCAGAAAAATTGGTAACTATAATTATATTAATATATTTATTCGATTTAGCTATGTTATTAGGGTTTGTCTGATTCAAAAATATAAAATAAACTATTAACCTCCTTAATATAAATGCGATAACATAATGTTTAATATTATTCTGCTATTTTTTCAATAAGATTTTTATGGGAAATTCAATTTTTATCGAAGATAATAATATAATATTACATATAATTTATTTGTTTATTTAAATATATCTTTGGTTGCCTAGAAATCGATGCAGCGAGGAGAATTTGGAACACTTTTTCAGAATGATATATCTGGAAAATATAAAAATGAAATTTTAAATTCAACAGAAAAAAATAATATAGCAATTTCAAAAGACAATCCGCTATTAATATCAGCTGATTTGTTAGAAAAGGTATATTTTATTATGCTTTATTTCAATAAAAAGATTTTAGGGTATACCCTAAACCATTTTTTGGACTTAAAGCAGATTTCTTAAATAAATTTATCATATAATTAAATATATTTTTATGATTCGTTAAGAGTTTTCATAAGAAAAATTTGGAACGCAAAAATTCCGAAATAAAAAAACAACTCTTTGAGATATCTTTTAATACTACTGCTCGACCAAATTTAAAAAGACATTCACCCGAAGAAGATGAAAAAGTCATAAAAAGTATACAACTTTTAAAATATAATTCATTTTTAAAAAATATGAAGTTTTGATTTTTGAAACAAATATGTAATATTTTAAAACATAAATTATTTTAGAGCCAAAAGTTAGTTCTAATCCTTTGACCTTAAATACGCCGAATGACGTAAATTTACTTGCTTTGTCCACTGTTGAAGTAATAAAAGTACCAGAGAAAGAAAAAGGTAATTAGTTTAATTAATCTATCTATTTTATGTAAAATTAAATAAAAAAAGATTATTTATTAAACATAATTAATTATAATAATACGAGTTAAATTAATATAACTTCTGCAGAGGCGTGTCATTAAGGGGGTCCATGGACGTTTTAAACAAAAGTAATTATACGTGTTTAATTTCATATTCCAAAACCTTAAATAAACCTAAATAATAGTAAACTGTTCAACAAAGTCTTTTATTAATTTTATGAAAAATGTTTAAATATGGTTACACTTGCAGAAGTAATGCAAGATCAGAACACAAAATCTCTTGATCAGTATAATGCACCTTCATTTAAATCGCCCACATCATGGTATACTTCAGACACAATTAATGAGTACATTAAAATGATAGTAAAACGGTCAGAAGGTGAAGTTTATGCAGTTGTCACTGATTTTATTGTAGCGTATCTTCGAGGAGGTTATCCAGCTGTAAGAAGATGGATAAAAAAAGATATTCACACAATAAAATTACTTTTTGTGCCCATGAATGTATATGGGAGTCATTGGATATTGACAGTGGTTAATATACCTGAAAAGACTGTGACATCATATGATAGTCTTAAGTCGTATAAGGGTCCTTATCCAATGGTATTAAAAAATTTCTTAATTGAATGGGAGATGGACAAAAAAGGAAAAGCTTCTACATGGACATTACAAATAGGCGAGACATCTCGCCAAACCAATGGACATGATTGTGGGCCATTTACTGTTGAGCTGGCAGAAAAAATGTCTCGAGGAGATACAACACCAATAAATGCAAATTTTATGCCTTTTATAAGATTAAGACACAAAAATGAAATTATTGCTGGCGAGCTATTCAATTAATATTTTTATGAATGAAATTTTATTTTTGTATTTTATATCAATTTTCTTAATATTCACTATAAATTGAAATTTTTATTTGTATACCACCAAACATTTTTTTACTTTTTCTTTGTTTAATTGTTGTTTTGTTATTTTATTTTAATCTTATTTTTCTTTGTAACATTTCATTTAAGAAATTCAAATTTAATATAAATTTATCTTAACTGAAATAATTTAATGTTCTTGTTATGTGAATATACAAATATTATAATATACAGTTATGGATACAATTAAGTTAAAAAGTCAGCCAATTATAAATTTTTAAATTAACAAGCGTATCTACTATCTTAACAACTTAATTTTAATTTTACTAAATGACGATTCATAAAGAATTTCATAACTTTTGTTTGTTTTTTAAATACTATTTCAATTATAAAAAATTCTTTTCTGTATTTTTTATGAATGCGGTATATTGAATAGGTGTAACTAAACTTATTTGTTTATAATTCTCTAAACTGATAAACTATAAAATAAATTTAAAAATGAACTACAAGTTCAGAATATTTCCGTTGTTATTATATTTTTGCTACGGGTATTTTTGTTATCTAAATGACCCAATGAAATCCAAATAATTTCTAGAAATCTCTGATAAAATGTAGATAAATACGTGTCGTCGAATCCTATCAAATTATCTTCAATTTTGTTATTTATTTAAAATACCATTTATTTTATAGTAAATAAATATAGTATATTATAAAAAAAGTTAATACCAAAATATTAGGCATTTTTTTTAAGTCAGGGGGTGTCCAGACATGGAGGACCCCCCCCCCCCCAAATACGCCACTGAATACATGGCTAGGCATAAACGAGTTTATAAGTTAAAGTTAATTTATATTTTTTAACTTAAAGCAGATAATTAGAATTTACGTTAACTTGATTTTAACTTAATTTATATTTCGTTTCTTTAACGATTAATTTGTCTATAATACCTCCTCAAAATAAAATTCTAAATATTTTATAATATTATTTTTATAAAAATTAGTTCAAAGATATTTGTATTATTCAACGAATAATATATAACATCCATTCACGGTTTCTTGTTGCTTAATGTCAATTTTATTGATAAACAACTTCCGCGAAATCGCATCTCAGACAAGCCCAACCTTGTCTTGCGGTTTTCTCGGAAATAAATTCGTATATTAATAGATATCTACCGACATTATCGTCCACAGTAAACGTTCAATAAATAACCGGGCTACTATTATATATATGTTTTTGATAATCAATTCTCTTCACATAGTCTCTATTAGGGTGTTCCTTATTTTTAAAATTTTAGTTATTCTTCAGACCAATCAGAAAAGTTTAACCCGTGCCGACTTAAGGTTGAAAATCGATAAATAGAGGTAGTTTTTCAGTTTTTAGCAATTAACTCATAAATTAGCGCTCTCATAATAAAAATTATTGAAACTAAATTGTAGATCGAATTGTTTTGTATAAATTAAGTTCATTTAGTTCACCAAAAAATGATTAAAAAATGTAATATTTAGTAAAATTATCAAAATTGAAATATTTACGAATATTCCATTGTATCACGAATACATTGTATCAGTCGAACCATATTTGATACGATCTTAAATAGAAACAAAAACCTACATTTTAATGAATATTTATTTTGTTCCAAATAAAAATTTTAAATACCAAATTAAGTTCTGTAGAAATATTTATTTCAAGTTTATACAAGATGCTTTATATATACCCATTAAAAAACTAGAAAAAGGTAAATAAATGATAGCAAATAACCTATTTTGTTTTATTTTTAATTAAAAAGTATATTAACATATTAGTTTATACAATAATATAATAAAATTCTAAAGTTTTTTGTACTTTTGTTCCGAGACGAGTTTAGGTAATATTTGTATACCAAATTAAAGCTTAAACAATTCATAGATTTATAGCTTTTAGAAAAATTCTGATAAGAATTAACTGATAATAACTGTAAATATCAATTTGAATTGCGTTTAGTTTAAAAGATATTTATTAAATGTATTATGTTAAAACAGTAAATCAGTGGGGTCGTGGCATACTTGGATCAAGTATAGTTGATATCTAATAGTGATTAAAATCACCATCATTTGTAATGCTTCCATGTAAATCTACAGATAGTGTTTAGTTTTAAAAAATTGTCGGATTATTCCAAAATCAGAATGAACTTCTATTTTCTTATTTATATCCTGATTACAAGTTTTATGATTTATAAGTGTATTATATGCAGTGTTGAGAAGGAACTAGTTCCAAAAGGAACGGATTCCTGGAACGAGTTCTTTTTGAAGGAACGATGCTAGGAACTGCTTCCTTTTAAAATAAAGGAACGAGGAAAATGAACAAATTCCATTTTTTAAGGAACGTGAACGGAAATTACAGTTCCTAAAATTTTTTATAAACATGTTTTAGTGTAGTTTTCTTCGTATCTAGACATTAAAATATTATGGTATTTTTAGTTGACTTTTGACAATGGAAGTCCCCTATATACCCAGCCGAGATCGTAGGCTGTTTAAATGAATCAATTGATTATAGATAGAGTTATTATCACATGTAGGTATACAGTAAATATTTAATATATGTGTACATATATTAAATAATGCACCGAATATTATCGTCGTTTCTTGTTAACTAATTTATGTTAAAGGTTTTGGGTTTTCTGATTTATTATTTCTAACTTATATGTAGACAATAGACATTGGTCGCGTTGACACAAGTCGTTAGCATTTACTACCTGCTTATAAATATAATTTTCGAATACTTTTAGATAAGGAATACTACAAATTTGTTTTGTATTCGACTGCTGATGAAAATCATTGATGACCGTTATCATGATCTCATTGCCACAATTTTTTAAATAACTTATAAAAGGAACGAAGAGTGGAACGAGTTCTTATTTTGGAGGAACTGGATCTGGAACAAGTTCCTTCTTAATATAAAGAATTAGGATCTGGAACGAGTTCATATTTTAGAAAATGAACGGGGAACGGAACGAATTCCATTTAAAAAGGAACTTTCCCAACACTGATTATATGCATAAATATTTATTATAGAAATTAAATATACTATATTGAAATTGATATTTAATAATATATTATTGTAATTTCAACGAAAAAATCATAAAAAATTATATATCAGTTATTACTTTTATGGGATATGTGTATAAAAATTGAAGGGCTTGTTGAAATAAAAAAAAATTGTTTGTTACTTATGAATATAATTACTTTTTATATAATATACACATCTAAACCTATTTTTGCGTTGATTTCAAATATGCAATTAATTTTTTTCTATCTTTTTCTAAATTTGGTATGTAATTATTGCCTGGACTCGTCTCGGAACTTTGTCAAAAGTGCAAAAAACCGAGCACTGGTCAGTGAATATATAGTGTTATGATCGCGGATATTGCCCAGCAATTTCTCTCAAACGGGTTACTTGGAAACTCGAGTACCATTTTTGATTTATGCTATACTATAGTAATATTTATAAGCTTTTATTTGGAACATAATTTTTAAATGAATACCCTTCGGAATATTTTTGAAAGTACAATATAATAAAACATATTTTTTTAACTAAGTGGCGCCCTCTAGCGGTATATTTGCGTTTTATATCTGATTAGGAATTGCTATATAGAAATTGCTAACTTCCGCACATAGGATAATATGATAATAAAATAATAAAATAATAAAATAATTCTACAATTTAATCAATTATCTAACATACAGATTACAATATTTGAAAAATGTATTGATTTATAATTTACTTAAAATTTTCGATTCAATTGGCATCCATTGAATTATTTTAATCTCGCATTTTATTTAGTACTTTTTGGCTTTTAATCTAAAATAATCTTTTAAAATTCGATTACTTCCTTATTTATCAATTAAATTTAATAATTTATATATATGTATAAATATCTGCTACTGTTTTAACGCTTATATAGGAAATAGTTAATTGTAGTTATTTAATATAATAATACATTAAATAATTCTTTATTAATGAGTTTCTTAAGCCACTGAATACTTATTTTTACAGTAAAAGGTATTTTCTTTATTAATAATTGGTTCATTAATCTTCTGAATTTCAAAATTTCTCAAATATGAGCAGTTTATCTAGTCAGCTTTGGAAAAGCAGTTTTCATATAGTGAGACTTGGCCAAGGTAATTTTTTATCTAAAGTCAATCGCTTCTGTACATCAGGAGAAAAGGATTCATTAAAAGATGATGAAAAAATATTAACTAAGGACAAAGCTCGATCATTAGTTATGAACTTAACTATTGAAGAAAGAGAAAATTTAGCATGGTGTCTAAATCATCTAGAATCAGAAGAGACTAAAGCTGAATATAAAGGTAACTACATCTTTTATTTCAATTAACATCAAATTAATGAAAATTATAAAATTATATAGGACAATTAGCTGGATTCAGATGGCGTTCAAAGTTTGGACGACCTAGCAAAGTACCAAAATTAGGAGATGTAGATCCCACTGGTTCTTATTGTCCATTACCTGAAGAATGGCTAAAAAAAAAATATGGTCAGTTAATTAAAATTTGGTTATTAAAACTATTTTAAGTAATTGAATATAAAATTGTATATTCCTTTTTTTGTTTACTATAGATAGAAAATCATTATTACAATTTATAAAAAGAAAAAACTATGATTTAACACTAATTAATAGTTTTAAAGGAATTGTTAAATTAAAGGCTTTAAAGGATCTAGTTTTTCCAATATTTAGCTTTGTACAACTTAGCATAACTAAAATTTATTATTATAATAAATAAAAAAAAATTGTTTCAGTTGAAGCTGTACCAAGACCAACAAGAATTCAATTATTTAGAGGTCTGTTGTTTTTTTTCTCCAATTTTCAATGATATAGTATTTTAATCATGTTTATTAAATTTAAATTTAATGTTTCAGTTGGTTTACATAATGCTATTCCATTTATTATGTTTGGCTTTTTAGATAACAGTGTTATGTTAATTTGTGTAAGATTATTATATTTTTCCAATTATTAGGTTTAAAGAAAAAATGTATAATATTTGATAATTATAGGGTGAATCAATTGAAAGAACAGTAGGAGCTTTAGTCACAATATCAACAATGGCTGCAGCAGCAATTGGCAATACATTTTCTGATATTCTTGGTATTGGATCATCTTATTATGTAGAGCAATTGGTTACTAAGCTTGGTTTAAAACCTCCCAGTTTAACACCTATTCAATTAGATATGAGCTGCAGTAGACATGCTGCTAATTTAGTAATTTTTTTTAAATATTTTTTAAACATTAAAATAATCCTTATTTAAAATCTTACTATTTTATAGGGAAGAACTCTTGGAGTCACATTGGGATGTATTTTAGGAATGTTTCCACTGCTTTTTAAAAAGGATGAAGATACCAAGAATGAAAATACTGAAGATTTGTCAGAAAAATAATTTTATGAAAGAAAAAAATCTGTTTTTCTCGATGAATTACTTACATTTTTGGTTTCAGTATTACTAATTATGATCAATAGTTTAAAATTTAATAACTAGACATTTTTGTATAATTTATAGAACGAAAAATTTGACAACAATATTCAACATTTATATTATTTGTAGTGCTATTATTTATTCTAGAAATGTTATAAATAATTACCAAATAGATTTAATCTTCCAAACTATTTAATATTTATAGTATTTTGTTAAAAAAAATTTTTATGTTTATTAATTCGTTATGTATTTATATTTTTTTTACGCTTCATTAAAAATTTCACTTTTATCTTCCATATGTTGTGCATTGAATTTTGAACTTATGAACATTCCTTTAAAAAAAATCTTATGCATAAAAACTATATTAGTTTTGAAAAGTAAATAATCAAATTTAGTTTTTTGTGAACTAGCTATCACAAGGGTTAGTCTTAAAAAATATATTTTTATAAAAAGAACATGTTAATGATAAGTATTATCAAATATATTTTATATTTTAATATCAATTTATGTTTAAATATCAATAATTTTATCATTTTGAATCTATGAATGTGTTAAAGCTTTCATGGATTATCTTGTTAAATGAGTTATTGTTGAGTGCTTAAGGATGTATCCATGTTTATAGTTGAGTTTTGACATTTTGGACTCATTGCAGAGTCCATCTTCAGAGTGATACATCCTTAAGTACTCCAAGCAAATTTTGAATCTAATTATGATTCTATAATCACAATGTTTTATTTTGCATTTTAATAGGTTGAAATGTTATCCAATAATTTACTACATAACAGAGTTTGTTAAATATTTTTTAGAACAATTGTTACAGATTTTTTATATGACCTTCTAAAGGCACTTAATATCAAACTAACTTTTTAGTAATAGTTATGTATATTTTTTATTATATAGAAATACTTGAGGGACTTCTATACTGACTTATTCTGAGTCATATAGTTATAAAGTGGTTATTAAATTTTTTTTTATAATTGTACAAATATTGAAAATAGTAAAATAAACAATGCTACACTTTAAATTAAAAATATTTAAAACATTTAATTAATTAATGATTAAAAACATATCAATGTAATTACAAGTCAATATTAAATTTAAAATATAAAATAACAACTAAAAAAATTAATAATAATAATAATTTTGCTAGTGTAATCAAGCAACAAATATGTATAATTTTATAAAATATTAATATATAATTAAATCTAAAATATTTAATTATATAGGTTAGGAATTTTGAACAAAGTTCACTAATAAATTTATGCAGGAAGAATGATAATTTTGTAACATGTAATTTACTACATTTGTTTGGCATTTACATTTACATAAATGGCAAATTAAACTTTTATCTGAAGAATCTGAAACCTAAATAAAATATAATATAAATAATCTTTTATCAACAAGTATAAATTATTAAATGTAAAATACCTCAAAATCATTAGCCGTATTACAATCAATGCTATTAAAATATTTTTCCAATTTTGATACTGTTTCATGTAATTTATCATTTAATGATGAACTTGAAAAGTTTTTAAGTAAACGATGACAAATTTTACTAACCAAATTCAATTCTGCAATATATATAATTTAATTCTATCTTATATTATATTCTATTAAAAAAAAATACACATACGTTCAATATATTGAATTCCTTTTTTGTGGTTTAAAACCTCCATCAAAATATGTTCGTGAGAAACACTTGAAAGTATAACATATCCTTCATTTATTATTTCTAAACATTTATTAATACATTGTACCTAAAAATTAACATAATATAAAAAATATAGTATTTTACATATGAAATGTAACTATCCAAATAAATAATTTAGAAAATAAATATCATAAATATTATATAATAAATATTTATCAATAATTTGTGAGAGTACTAGAATAAAATGTAAATAATTTTGAACTTTTGACCTTAAATGTTACTTGTGATTTAAAGTTTAATAAACACAGTTCTAATCTAATAACATAAATGAACATTTTATTTTTATTGCTTAACATTTCAACAATAATCACTTACTTGTACATCATGCCAATACGAATTTATGTTTGCTTCTTTACTGCACGGAAATTGTTTAACACCCAAAAAGTCTCCAAATTCATCATGTTCAAAATTGTCGTTGACAATATTATGATTATTTGAATTTGTAAAAGTAAAAGAATCTTCTTGATTATTTTCATTAATTATACCAGACACATCTTCAGATTCTGCTACTAGTGTTCTAAAAATCTCATATTTATCATGAATATCTTGACAGTTAATCAAATCTTGTTGATTTTCATTAGTAAAATTTAATTGATCATCTAAAAGTACATTTTGTTCAACTTTTTTTACATTTTTGTCATCAGAAATTTGATCAAAAGCAGATTGAAATTCAGTAAACTCATATGGGTCTTTGTTTTCTTGAATAGTATAATCAGAAGCATTATTAAACTGAGCACTTTGAAAGTCAGAAAATTCATCATCAAATGTATCAAAACTATTATTAATTGGTGTTAGATCTAAAGATTTTGGTTGTAGACTAGATATTGATAAAGGTATAATTTTAGTGTCGTAACTTTTAGGTTCTAAAAAAGTAACTTCTAAAGGATCATTATACTCATCAGATGGTATCATACCAAAATTTGATTGTTGTGTATTTTTAACTAAATCATTATCATTATTTAATTTAGGTAATTTATATTTGCTATCTAATAATTGTGTTTGACCGCCAATGAAGTTTTTTCCAGTGGGTGTATTCTTTTTTTCAATTAATGCATAGTTTAACTGAGGAATGATTGGTTTTTGTATATGTTGCAGCAATGATATATTTGATACCGAATACCCATTCTGAAAACAATTACTTTTTAGTTAATCAATATTAATATACTTATTTGTTTACCTTGCAAAAACAATTATTAAAATATATAGAGTATACTTTATAGAATAGATTTTTTCAACTTTACATTTAATTTGATAAGTTTCAAAAACCTAAATTCACCTGAACTAATGTTACCAGTGCTAAAATAATGTATAATTCTTGTTGAGATAGAGATCCTTCTATTCCAATATTGGACATTGACCATAGTTTGCCAAGTACATCAACAGATAAACCGCTAGTTATTAATAATTCTGACACCAAGTTAGTGTCACAACTTCTATCACGTTTGTCAGTTTTCACATACTGCCATATTTGCTCATACAATGGATGAACAAATCCAGATTTAGGTACCATCCATTTTGGTAACTTCTGAAATATTTTATAAATGTTAAAAATGTGAAAACTGTGAATTTAATTATTTTACTTTGTACATTAAAAAGACAACATTAAATTTAACTTTAAATAATGACATATATAATCAATTTGAATATTAAATTTACTTAAATTTGATTTAAAAATAAAGTAGTGTAAGTAGACTGATAATCAAAATCAAAAAATGTATCACTTATAAAAAATATAGAAAATCTTTCAGGTATTATACTATATCAGTATTAAAACTTTTACTATAATGTATCCATACCGAATATAATTCTTGATCTTTGTTAATAATGAAAGTATCTTGTGAAATTATATTTCTAATCATGGATTCTGCATCAACATTCTGAAAAGTAATTAGATTACTCATTAATTTAACAATTGCATAATATAAAAAAAGGCTGATATTATCAAAATATATTATTATTTTTTATTACTTTAACTTAGAAAACTTACTTTACTTCTTGAATTTCTACTTGAATTTGTATTTGGAAAATATGTATCTCTTTGAATTTTATCCATTCAATCATATAATTCAAAATAAGTTAATAACAATTAATATTTAATTTAGCATTGTTTAATTGTTTAAAATATTTAAAAATGTTAATGTTATAAAATTTTTTTTTAACTTTTGGCCGATTGGAAATTCTAAATTTTTGTAAAAATTTATGTCAATATTATTATCATTCCTTTACAACTTTTATTAGATAATAAAACGTCATTATGTTTCGTTGATAACTGATAGTAAATCAATCATATGCGGATTTTAAATTAATGTTTAGGTTATTGGTTCTATTAAACAAATAATGAAAATAACAAAATCGATCTACTAAAATGATTTCAAATGAAATTAAGTCAATTAAAGAAATAACACTGAATAGAAATAAATTTTATTGGGCGATTTACGTTTTAAATAAATCCAACCTTATTAAAAGTTTGACATTTTTTGAACTCTACCAAAACCCACTCTAAGCTCTTATTCGTATTTTTTTTTTCTTTAAGAAATAATATTTACAAAAAATAAATTTTATTATTTTCAAAAGAAAATTCTTAAGTTTTAGCATCGATGCGAAGCTGAGAAGGTGTTAACTTTACTACTATGATGTGATTTTTTTTTGTCTGTGAACGCTCAATCTCAGAACTCGCTAGACCGATTTTGATGATCAACAAAAAGATCAAAAATCGTATCTACTCTAAGTAATTACCCCCAAAAATTGAAAAAAAATTCCCTCGTTCTCAGTAAACTTAAGTAAATCTTATATAATATACTTTAATTTGAAAAATAAATTGACGTCTGGACTTGTCTTTATGGTAAAAATGACTACCGTATGCAAAAATATGCTATTTTTGTGAAAAAATTCTTGATATTATATTTTACATTTTTTAACATTATGTTGCTATAACTTTTTAAAAAATGCATGAATCAACTTTATTCTTTAATGATAAATACTTTATATATACTTCTTTCATTCGACATACTTTTTTTTTAAATCGGACCGTTTCCCTTTATACAGGGGGGGTGCAAACCTTTTAAAATGCGTATAGAAAGTAGAACTTTTTCAACTTAACTTTTGAAAATGTTCCGGAAAGACTGACACTTTTATATATATCTTAAATTAAAGCTTATGTAATATACTTTAATTTGAAAAAAAAAAATTTGACCTCTGGACTTGTCTTCGTGGTGAAAATGACTACCGTATGCAAAAATATGCTATTTTTGTGAAAAAATTCTTGATATTATATTTTACATTTTTTAACATTATGTTGCTATAACTTTTTAAAAAATGCATGAATCAACTTTATTCTTTAATGATAAATACTTTATATATACTTCTTTCATTCGACATACTTTTTTTTAAAATCGGACCATTTCCCTTTATACAGGGGGGGTGCAAACCTTTTAAAATGCGTATAGAAAGTAGAACTTTTTCAACTTAACTTTTGAAAATGTTCCGGAAAGACTGACACTTTTATATATATCTTAAATTAAAGCTTATGTAATATGAAAATATTATTTTTTAGAACAAAAATTTACCTCTGCATTTGTCTTCATGGTGATAATGGACACCAAAGTTAAAGAAAAACGTACGATTTCCGTGAAAAAATTCTCGATTTTATATTTTTTAATTTATATTGCTATAACTTTTGGAAAAATGTATGGATCAATATTATTATTTTTTATAAATAATTTTTATATACCTCTTTCATCTGACACAATTTTTTTAGCTTCGATGCGAAGCTGAGAAGGTATTAATTTTAC